TTTTTTTTTTTCCCCTCTCCTCCTCCACTTCAAAAGCATCCTAGGCCTAAATTTTCTCCGAAATTTCCCCAGATCCCCAGATATTCCCTTTATAAGCCTTCTTTGTCCAGATTTCGAGTGGAATAAATAACCACACGTCCTCCAGACAGCCAGGCCCCATCTTCGCTCTCCATCTCCATCTGAGCGGGGTTTTCTCCCTCTCTGTTATTTGAATTAATCTTTCTTTTCCTCCTAGCAGCTCCGAATGTCCGTCCCCCTCAAAATATGTGATCCCCTGGGCCACCATCACCCTCCTCTTGGCTCCCGTCGAGGGCACTGAGGGATCTCCACCAATGTGGGAACGGAGCAAGTGGCCACGAAGTGACTTCTTCCCTTGGTGGTTCGACGACAGAGCATGCTCTATTATTATTATTATTATTATTATTATTATTATTATTATTATGCCGTTTAGGGGTTTGTCAGCGCCGCAGGATGCCCATCCCGGCCACAAGAGGTGGTCGCCAGCTCTCGTGCCTCGCTGCGTCCCCTCCGCGACAGCTTCATTTGTCACTTGACGCCTCTTGCTCTAATCGTGGATAATTGCGCTGTGATTTACTGTACCCGCACCCGGCGCTGTGGGTCTGGGGAGTGAAGCAGCGCTAGAGAGGAAGGGTGGTTATTTATTTTTAAGTGTTTTTTTTTTTCTCTTCTGCCCTCTCGTTCTATTTTATTTTTAGCTCGAGAGAAATGGCGAGCAGAGAGGAAATTAGCAGAAAAGGCAAAGAAACACAAGACTGCTAGGTGAGGCAACAAGAAGGAGAGGAAAACAGGAGGGGAAAAAAGGGGGAGAATTAAACGGCAAAGTAACTTTCCAAGCAAACTCACGGCGTGCATTTTGATTCCGAGACGATTGCTTCACCTTCTTTCCCCTGCATGTTCATACACATTGCCTCGCGCAGAAGGCATTCCTAAGCGATTTCTTGCCCTTTAATTATATATACAAGCACCCAGGGGAGATACCTATATCCGCACACGCTTCATATGCGCCCGGCCCGACATATAGGTGGGAGGCGGTTGGGAAGCAGGAGAGCTTCCGAGGGGAGCCTACCTGGGAAAGGTGATTTCCAGAGATGCGCAGATTGCGATTGCTCTTTGGAGCAGTACATCTGCCCGTCCCAACCGTTGGAAAGAGCCCAGTGCTGGTAGCCTTCCATGGGAAGCAAAGCATCGTGTCGTGGCTCCGGGTGGCCGCCGAGCGCAGGCACCACGGACATGTCCAAATAACCGGGCACCGCCTGGTAGGAGCCGGTAAAACCCGGGTAAAACGCGAACTCCTTGGCCCTCGACGGCAGCTCATCGCTGGGCAGGGGGCCGCCGGCGGCCTCGGGGTATTTGTCCCCCGGGTGGTAGGAGCACGTTTTCTGCTGCAGGTTCACGCCGTGGGAGTGGGACAACCTGCAGCCGTAGTAGCTGCTGCCGAAGGGGTAACCGTAGCCCAGCGCGGCGCTGGAAGCGGCCGCCGACGGGCACTGCCGGGGGGGCTCTGTGGGCGCCAGCTCCGCGTAGCCTCCCGTTTGCGGCGGCGGCGGGGGGCCGAGTCCCGGCGGCGGGGGCAGCATCTCCCGGCACGGCCCCAGCGCCTCCATGGCGGCCCGCGGGCGGCCCTTGTCACGCGGGGCGTCCTCGCAGCGGCACACGAGCCCGTCGGGCCAGCGCGGGGGGAGCGGCAGCGGCGCCGTCATCCCGGGCCGGGGCCGCCGCCGCCACCGGCGCCGCCGCCGCCGCCGTCGGGGGAAGCGCCGCGCCGCGACCCCCCCAACATATCGGCGCGGCGCGCGCATGCGCCGCCGCCGGCTCCATTAAGAAATCCGCCGCGGCCACGCCCCCCGCCCCTAAGTAGCCCCCGACGGGGCGGCCACGTGACCTCCCCCCCCCCGCCTTCCTCTCCCTCCTCCTCCTCCCCACGCGCGGGGAGTGGAAGGGGGGGGGGGGGAAGCGGCACTCACCATTGGTCGCTTGTTCTTCAAGGCGCCCCCCCAGTTAAACGTCCCCGCCTCGGTTAGCCCCACTCCCCGTTAAACTCCCCTTCGGTTAACCGCATCCCACACCGGTTAAATCTCCCCTATGACCGTCGAGTGGGCGCCGCTGCCGGCGGACACAAAGGGACGAGCGTCGAGCGGATTTGGGGAGGTCCCCTGCCCCCCTGTAGCGTTCTGCCTCTCTCTTCCGCCTCGTCGGAGACTCCCCCTTAGGGTCTACACCCCCTCCCCGGCTTTGCACCCCGAATTATTGTGAGCCCCTCCCAACACAACCGCCTTGCACTTTTGCAAGCAGCGCGGTCGAACTTGTAGGCTCTTTCCCGTCGCAAGGTGCCTCCAGTCACCCCCGCAGCGCACGTCGGAAAAAAAAAATCCCATTACGACCCATTCCTTCATTTCTTTCCTGCTTGGAGCCCTCCAAAAAGGGGTTATTTGCCCGGGTCTCACGCACGCGGCGTGGGAGAGGGCGTTGTAGAGTGAAACAAAGTGGGACGACGGGCCGGGCTGGTCCAAGCGCCCTCGACACAGCGCTTCTTCAAAATTAATGTAGCATAAATATATACACTTAAGGAAAGGACAGGCTCCTGAGTGGAATGTTTGTGAATTATTTTCTTTCTTTTTTTTTTCTTTTTCTTTTCTTTTCTTTTCTTTTTTTTTTTTTTTCTGCAAACAAGAGAGCGTTTGCACGAGGTGCCCTTGGAAGGGAAAGCACCAATGGGGCCTTGCAGCCGTCGGGAAAACATCCCAAAGAGAAATAGCGGTGGTGGGGACACTCCAAATCTTTCAGCGACAAAGAAGAGGAAAAATAGACAAATTAAGGAGAAATATATATATATATATATAATTCCCATATATATGTGCTGTTATATGTTATATGTTATATGTTATATGTTATATGTTATATATTATTCATATATATGGGAATTTTGTTGTTCATAGATCGTGGGAAGCGCTGGTGAGGTGCGACAGGGCAGCCTCGCTCAGCCACTCGCAGCGGGGTTCGCAGCTCCGTTTCAAGGCTGAATTTCCTCCAATTTTTCCCAGTTTGGACCTTGCAAAAGGAGAAGGAACACCCGGCCCCTTCACGTCGTGGGAGTTTGTGGCCCAAGCATGACGGCGACCACTGCTCCATGTCCCACGTTTTAGCCGGAGAATTACCTCCCGCTGGGCTCCTCTTTGCCCATTCACCTTCTGTTTGTCCCCCAAACACCCTTCCCCACAAAACACCCATATCCAGGAGGCTGAAATATTCCAATGCGCAAAAACAAAAAATAAAAGCATCTCCACCCTCAAAAGTGGAGTCGAGTTAGCTAAACAGTCTCTGATCGGAGCCATCAGAAAAGACAAAACTGGGAGCAACTCACTCCCAAAAGATAAAATGGATAAATAAATAAATAAATCTCAATCATCCCCAACAGTTGAAGTCCAAGTTCAAGGCAAAAGAGCCCAATCCGTTCCCGAATTAGTACCCGGGCAGGCGGGAATGAAGTTCATGGAGTGGCGCCGGGACTTATATAGGCACCGGCCGCTTCTCCTAGCCTCACACCAGGGCTAAAAACTCAGGAAAAAAGGTAATTAAAAAAAAAAACTCTAATATTTTACTAATATTTTATCTATATTTATATCCATGAAAGAAGCTCCAGCCCGAGAGCCTCAAATTCCTGCAAGCGATTTGATGATAGTCGGAAATCACTGAGAACAATAATTTTCCCCAAAAATACATAATTACATAATTCAAAAATGATCTGGGACAAAAAAAAAAAAAAAAGAAAAAAAAAAAGAGAGCGGGAAATGGAGAAAAGAAAGGAGTAAAAGGAGCAAGAGATGATAAGGAAATTGAAAGACCAAAGGAAGGATGGGGATGCATCAGGGCGAAGCCCCTAATGAATTGCCCTAACTGCACGTATTGGATATAGATTTTTATTTTTGTAGATGATCTTTGCTGCTAATTTTATATAGCGGCTGACATTTGCTAGCATGTGTCCTCTGTCTGAAACGTAGAGGGAGGATTCAAAGAGAAAATGTAAAGATTTATGATAAGCAAAGCAGAGACGGGATACGCCCGTTGTAACCGAGGGCGCTGAACAACGCGACTGCTGGGCAAAATTGGCGTCAAACACATAAAAAAAAATCGTTTTTTTTTTTTGTTTTTTTTTTTTTTTTTTTTGGAGCATTAAGGGCTTCAAGTTTCCCCCGGTAGTCGATAAATGAGACAATCAAATAAAAATAATAGTGCACTCCTTTCCAGGTTTGTGTAAGGACATTTACAATTCTCATCCCGGTGAAATATAGATTTAATTAAGGTTTTACATTGCATGTTACAGAGAGAAGGGAAGGAGAGGCAAAAGAAGAAAAAAACTTTATTTCTAGACAAGAAAGAAGAAAATCACGTTTAATTTGTGGAGGAGGAGCCCCTGGATGGGAAGGGATGTCCCCAACGTCGCCTCGGTGGGACAGATCGAGTCCTCTCGACCCTCTCCCGCAGCCCCCTTTTCATTCTGCAAATCGCCCGGCAGCCTCTCATTTAAAATGGTTTTTATTATTATTTTTTACCATTTTCTTTCCTCCGATCGCGAGGCGTTGAGAGGATTGCGAGGGAGTTAACGCATGCAAATCAACACAGGGATGTCACCAAAAATGTGGAAGCGCTTAGGAGAGCAGTACCCCTAAATAAAAACAAATCGGAAAAGTAGAAGGAGTGATTAGAAGTAGTAACAGATGTGAGACTCATTGAGTTCATTAGATTGAGCAGGGAGGTTATATACATATTATATGTATAATTTACATATTTTATCTATTTTATATCTATAATCTACATTAAAATATCAAAATTTTTCCCTCTTAAAATATAATAGTCCTATCTCTGCGTGTGCATTCAGAGAGAAAGCCTGGAATGAAGTATTGATTAGATGCAGTGATTGCAATAACTCACAATTCTTTTTCTTTTAACCCCATGTGAAGGAAAGTTAACATGGAGCTATATAGAATAAAATTGACTTATATTTTCCTCCTCTTCGCTGCCGCTATAGGTTGGTAGCCTGCTCTGAGATTGCACAGCATCCGGAGAATATTTTATATGGATATTTCCAAGGGGAGCGGTTCCTTCTTCGTCGCCGAGCAAGAAAGAAGTTGAATTTTCGCCTTCTGAAGACAAATCCGGGTTTGTCTGATTTTCCTTCCCTTTCTGGGTGTGTGTGGGGGAGGTACGATACTAATGAGAGATCCTGGGAGAAAAGAGATGTTTATTTCTGTAATTTTATCCCAGCGCTAGAAAGGAAGAGAGGGGCAGATTCATCTCAGAATCCATGGGAAAATCAATTATATCCTCACCATGCCCAGCTCTGCTTTGCAAAAAAGAAGAAGAAAAAAAAAAAAAGTCCAAGTTTTTTGATCTCCAAGATTTTAGATTTGTTTTTTTAAGGGTGTTTTCCACCTTGGAACCACATTACCTTTTCAAATGAGCAATTTCTCGAGCGATCTATCTGCAGACGGAGGGTTTAAGGTTTTCGCAAAAAGGGAAAAAGAGACCAAGTTTGTTTTAGACTCAAGCTCTCCGAAAGAATGATTTCTGTCCCCAATATATGAAGATAACTGCTCTGTGAAAACCTCTACGTGCGCATCCCTTAGGGTTCAAAACCAAGTATCGCTTCTCCAGGCCAGGGAAATCACAGCTAAAATAAAATGAATTTTATTTCTGCGGAACTGAGGAATTTTAGATTTTTTTTTCCTAAAACCCCTCTCTCTTTTACTGTTCTTTTTTTCTTTTTCTGCACGTCCAGAAGAATAAAATAATTATGGTCTGGATGACAGCAAAGAAGAAAGACGGTATGTATTTCACTTTGGAGCAAGAAAAAACAATTCAGTGTCAATCTGTCCCATATGTTTTTGTTTTGTTTTGTTTTGTTTTGTTTTGTTTTGTTTTGTTTTTTCCCTTTTCTTCTCATTGATGCTTGGAAGGTTGAGAAACCCTCCCAGGTACACCAGTATTAAGGAAAACTCTGTAGGTAGCTGCTCCCACCTGCACAACAAAAGCGAAGTACGGAGATAAATGGTCCAAACGCATCTTACAGCGAAGAAAAAGTGACTCCTTATTTCTAATAAAAACAGACAAAAAAAAAAAAAATCAGCAACAACACGCTTCCAGAAAATCCTTACTTAGATGTAGGAAGGAAAGTTACTTTCCCATTGTGCATTTCTGGAGAAAAATGAAGGAGCGGAATTTTCGCTGGGGAGCCCTCGGGGAAATTAGAGCCCGTGGTATGAGAAAGTCTAATTTTCCCCCCGGAGTACCAATTTAGTGAAGAAACTATGACACCGAGGCTCATATTCTAGCAGAGGAGTCCAAGGAAAGCTTTCCCAGGCTTGGTTTTAGTGTGCTGGGGATAAATAAAAGCCAAAGCCGATTCGTCTTCCCAAAGTTTGCGTGCGCTCTCTGTTCTGCGGCTCACCCTCTCGAGGAAAAAATAAATAAATAAAATAAATAAACTACGTAAGATTCTTGCTTCCAGCTCTTTACTGAATTAATACAAACGGGAAAGAGTTGGAAGCTGCGACTGGGCTGAACGGTTCATGCATATTATTGCAATATATAATTTAAAAAAAAAAAAAAAAAAAAGAGAGAAAAATGCTGGTGGTGGTGGTGGAAATAAAGCCTAGCCTGAAATAGAGCATTCAAATGAGATTAAATGCATTCTTTCCTTAGA